AGTCTATCCAACACAAGAGCGCAGGAGAATTTTCCAAGGACCGGTCATCACCTAAGGCCACCTGCGCGTCAACGCATGCACAGAGGGCCAAGAGCTGCACAGCCTCGTCAGGAGCCACTTATAGTACTTATAGTATAGCATAGTAACATAGTACATCATAGTACAGCACATTATGGCAAAATATCGTATAGTGTCGTATTGTATCATAAGGTATCTTATGGTTATAAGAATCTTAGCCAGCCACACACTGGATTTAGTTAAATAATTAAAACATCATTTTATCTTCATCTTCGTCATCATCAAATCATCCTCGGAATCATCCTCAAATCATCCTCTGCCCCACCAATCATCATCTTATTATCATCGGGCTCCCAGGCGCGTAAGTCACACACGAATAAACGCAAGGAGTACTTCCACGCATGCTTCCTCAAAGCCTCCTGCATCACCTGCGAACACAAGCCTAAGCAAACTTGTCTTTGAGGGGCCGTGTTTGTCAGTGCACGTATACACTGCAAGTTTGTATGTGCATTCAAGAGGTCCACGTCCTATCGCAAGCACTCGGCAACACAGCCGGCAGCTAATGAGAATTCACTACCGAAAGAGCATCACACAACCATCTGGCTCAGATGACCGCTGCTAGCATACCGACCCGCTCCATCGCCTCACCTCTTCTCCACTACAGGGTTATGCTACAAGAACATAGTCAATCAATTGGCGCACTGTTCATCCTAGACCCTATAGGCCCTTAGGCGATACCCATCGAAAAACCGTGATGTGTTTGAACCGTGGCAACGGGGCGGAGGGGCCCGAGGATGAATTTTGGATAATCCGCGCAGGACGGAGGATGCCAAGAATGATGGTTTCAGGATAATTAAATGATGAAACGATAAACGGATGATGATTTGAGGATGATTTGGGGATGATTTGAGGATGGTTTGAAGATTTTCTGATGATTTTTGATGATTTTCTGATGATTTTCTGATGATTTTCTGATGATTTTTTGAAGATTTTCTGATGATTTTTTGATGATTTTTTGAAGATTCCCTGGGGCATTCACACATTTCCCGATTTCCCCACTCCCTGCCCCTGCCTGCCCCTGCCCTCCCCTCCCGGGCGCCCTGAAGATTTTTTGATGATTTTTTGATGATTCCCTGGGGCATTCACACATTTCCCGATTTCCCCACTCCCTGCCCCTGCCTGCCCCTGCCCTCCCTTGCCTGGCGCCCCCCCTGCCTGGGCAACGACGGTTTGAGGCCGTGGCTCAGCGTCACCGAATCATCCTCCAATCTTGCCTTTTCCAAACTGCCATCCCAAAATCATCCTCAAATCCATCCCCTCCAATCCTGGCTTCCTCGAATCATCCTCTCCAGAACATCCTCGCCAGATCATCTGCGACCTGCGTGCCACAAAAACCGTCGATTCAACACGCCTGCGATCTCTGATGACCTGGTTCCATATCTGTTTCTGTTGTCTGCGCACACGATGCGCGTCGCAATGCATTCCATAGCACAGTCTAGAGTCTAGAATATAGAGTCTGCAGAATCTAGAGTATAGAGGAAGTGTGGGGACTGGAGTGAACAGGGAGCATCTTCCAGCAGGAGGAAAAAGAAGCTTCGAGCAAATTCCATCCATTTTAATCTACATGTCACTGGTGTCACCATCAATAGCCACAACAACAATGTCCTGCAAGTGGAGAGTGCAGAGTTGACTACTCCTGATGATATGATGCTTCGACTTACTGATGGGGATGGTTCGTCGATGATGACTACGGATGAGGATGATTTTCGGATGATGTTTTCAACCAGGGTGAAAATGATGATGATGTTGGCCATGATTTGAGGATGGCCAGAACGATGATTTTTTGATAAACTAATTCATTTAGGCTATGCCAATGTGTCCACGCAAGAATCTTATAATCTTATGGTATCTTATAGGCAAAAAGGCATGCAACAGTATATTGTAATACTTGGCGAGAACTGTTGTTCGTTCTCATTTCCGAGGCCCAGGATCTAAAGCAGCAGACTCTGCCAGCTGGCTTGCTAAAAGATCCTCCATTGTCGGAAACAGCGTTAGCAGCGGCACGAGGGGTGGTGGTACTTGTAGTAGTCGTCGTCGACATCAGAGCACGTAGCGACGGTCTTGCGAAAAGCTTCCTGCAGTGTTGCGCGCCTTCTCTCCGCGTGCAGACTCCAGAGCTTCGGTAGCACACCTGAGCCGACTGATTCCCGAGCCCAAGGCCTCAAACATCCGTAGACCCCGAAACAGCAAACAGCATACCGACTCTAAACCCCAAGTAAAGGGAACCCGTAAACAAAGCCCCCATCGGCTGTTGGAATTATAACGTTCCAGGTTAGACCTCATAACATCCCTTCCATACTATCGCTGCTTAAGGTGCCCTTCGTAGTGCTCCTCAAACAACCCTTCTACATCCCATACTCTCCCTGCATAGAGTGTTTGTTCTAGTACTCTTAAGAGTATCCTTATAAAGACCTTATCGTAGCCCTTAGTACCCTTAAAGTACCCTTAAAGTAGCGTAGCCCTTAGTACCCTTAAAGTACCCTTATAGTAGCCCTTCTCGTATCTCCCATGGAGCCGCTTCGGGAGCACGTCGGATACCGAAAAACTGGGATCCAAGGGGCTCAAGGGCCGCTTCGGGATCATCCTCCAAGGCCGCTTTTTTTGGGCTTAGGGGCTGTCTTCTTGGGGCTTTTGGGGGGGGCATATAGTACCCTTTAAAGGGGGGTCTTTTCAGGGATCTATTCTAGAGCTGTTAGGTAATCTATAGGGGCCTTGGTAGTTGGAATAAGTTTGGGGGTCTTTTAGAGTGTACTAGGGGCCTGAATAAGGGTTCCTTGAAGGAGTCTATAAGGGATATCTAGAAGGGTTGTATGACATAGGGGCCCGCCTTAGCAATTAGAACAGAGGTTTTGGGGGCTATCTTATACCATGCAAACTAGTATAGGTATTATTATGAAGTCTTGAGTTCTACGTTTCCTAAACATGTTTTATATTCGTTGTACATAGGGATATGTTGGGGTCCTAGGTTGCTTGAGCTTTGTTCTGGGGTTTGGGTCCTAGGTTTTTGGCTTTTATAAGAGAGCGTATGGGCGCCATAGACTGATTTGAATAGGGTCCTTTTACGGGTTCTTCAAGGGCTACCGTAAGGGTGCAGCTTTCGGAACAACTTAACAGCTGGAACACCTTGATCGGAGCCCGTTGCACAGTGTGCCGCGTAAACCATCCCTAAGTAGGGCTCCTTCCCGGTTTCTAATGGGGCTTGTAAGGGTGTTATGACGTCTACAAGAGCTACTGTAAGAGCCGATGTGGAGCTATCACCCAAGAGCCACCAACTTGAGGGGCGGGGCCAGGGGAACGAAAGCTAGCCTAGGCTCGAGGCACGGGAACCGATACAGAGATGGCTAGGCGTGCTCCATGCATCATCATCATCATCACATCCAACCACAGCAACGGAAGGCAAACAGAGCTGACGAGGCGGGCAATCAGCAACGGAGGGGAACCAAAGCTGGCTGGCCGGGCTCCAGCAGCAACATGGGGGAAACAGAGACAGCCTCATCACCTCCTGCCCATCCAACCACATCAACAACTCAAGGTGAGGAAGGGAAGGGGCGGGGTTTGTTCGATATATCCATCCTTTTGCGTCTGGTCCCACAACTTACGCAGATAGAAACGAAAGCCTCGCTAGCCAGCTTTCGTGATTATTCGACATTCACTCCTTGCTCAGGCCGGATGATGACGCCCCGTTTCAGGCTTAGGGCTTAGGGCTCGTCACCTGTTGCTGCCATTGCTGCTGTGGTTGTTGCTGCGGTATGGTCATTGCTATGTTGATGTCAGCGTAGCAAAGTAACTCTTATGCTGTGTCTGATCATGCTAATGGTAGTGTCGGGTTCTGAGACTGATGCTGCGCATGGCTATGCTTGTCATTCGCTTCAGAACTAGTAAGATGCTTTGACTGTCCTTAAAGCGATTACGGCTACCATTCAGGTAGTATGATAGGAAGCTGCCCTGAACTTTGCTTTGCCTTTTGCTACAGCCTATACACCCTGATAGAAGAACCCCATAAAAACCCCACGTTAAAGTAGCAAAACAAAGACCCGAGCCTGGCGCAGTAGCGCGCCCGATCTGGCGACGAGGGATGCTTGGCTCATCGCGGATAAACAGCTCTTCCAAGGTTTACTCTGGCTTGGGGCTGAAGATCTCGGGGGCTGCGGGGCGTCTGGCTTCTGGAAAAATGCACCACCTGGTAGCTTGGGACAACAAGGCACCAGGCTAGCTTCTTGTCATGTCGGCCATTACATATTAGGCAGCTATTCAGCAGCTTTGACGCCGACGACGATGAGATACAGTAGTGGGGGTATGTGAGGGAAATGAGAGGAGAAGGGCGATAATGATGATCAGGGTTCATGTCGAGGTCGGGATGCTAAAGCTAAATGCCTGAGCCGAGCGAAACAGACATACGATCTCACTCTACAGACGCCTCCATGCAAAGCTGGCATCCTACGCTTCAGAGGCTACGGTTGAAGGTTCAGGATTGACCCGTAACATGATGGATAACATTCCCGCACATTTTCAGTCAAGCCTTGGGCTTCTTCCGTCAAACCACGTGCAGGAGTGCACGAAGCCTCCTTTGGGCTCTTGTGCGATCCCGGCCACTGCAGTTCGTGCAATCTCGCTTGGGCCCACCACTGCGACCGTAGCTGTGTACAACAGCAATTGCACCTCGCGCTGTTGTACCGTTCTGTCCGGAGCTGCGGTCATGCAATCGTAGGTTGCCTGAGCGAGGGTTCTGCTGGTCCAACACCGGCTGCTGCTTCAAACTCGGCGGCCCTTCCACTTCGAGTCACATCACCTTTTTGATGATGCAGAAGCGCATGGGCCAAGTAACGGTGAGATCACCAGCAGAATTGATTCGTATGTACAGCAGCAGACACTACTCTGCCGACAATGCCACATTCAAACCGGAAGCGTTTCGCCGATTCTCATCAAGACATCCTGCCTCCAACGTGAATCGCCAGAAGATCACCTTCCAACACAATGCCACTCAGGATCCTGCATAAGGTATCACAAGTCAAGTGACGGACCAGCACTTTCTACCTCCCAGAAGCACTATCGAAACGCCATTCTAACTCCCACCCCTGTCCTGCCGTCCGTGCCGATGACTACTTGCCGAGGACACCTTTTGCGGTCCCATCCCCGCTGTGTTGGCAGCGATCCGAGGTCGCAATATCTGCCACTCGGAAGTCCCACGTAAAGGCCATCCAAGAGCCAGTTGCCTCAGTCAGGGTAAAGGGCTCCCAGAGACTCCAATATCCCGCAATTAATATGTATACCTTAAAGCCTTAAACCATATTAGGGATCCTACTATAATTTTACTATAATCCTACTATAATCACTAAAATCCTACTATAATTTTAAGGTGTATTCCTTAATTAAGGGATCCTCCTCTAATTTGAGGTTTTTTCCTTGATCAAGGGATATTGGAGTTTCTGAGCTCAGGGGTTGAGCTGCTGGCCGTTTGCACGACACGACCCCTTCGCCAAACGCCCCGAAAGACTCCGGAAGAAAATATCCCACAGTACATTTTTTATTGTAATATCATATTATGTAACATAATACCATATACATATATGTTGTAATATCATGTTACGCAACATAATACTAATACCATATACTTATGTACTGTAATATCTTATTCTGTAACATCATAATATCATATTATCCATCAGTCTGCAGCTGCAAGTCATGCTTTCCGAGCTGCCCAGATGTCCCCATTCAGATTTCAGCTGTGTGTTGTAGCCACGGACGAGAGCCGCAAAGCAATCCTGCGACGGAAGAGGTCCGATGCAGGACCTCGATTCTAGCTTCTAGCTTGCGAGTGGAAGTTGAGCTTCTTATCTGGGCAGCCCTCAAGGAGCCACCACAACGACGCAACCGTGGCGGTCACGTCAGCAGCAACACTGCGCAGCAGCAGCCGCATATAGCAGCATCGAAATCGGCATCAAGATAAGCATCAACAACAGCATCTCAATCCAGCATCACGACTTTCACCAGTATGATAAACCCACCATCTGCGATGACTATGTCAATGTGGAAGTGATAGTTCAAGGAACACCGACAACATGCATGGGAGCAGTAGCTACGGAAAGAGCATAGGTCAACTGGTCAGTCCCAGCAGCTGAACTGAAACTTCCAGCTATTATTTCCAACTGCTACGGTCCTCGCCCGCGCGGAATGCCAGCCGACCTGCGCTGACTTCGGGCGCCTGTCGCCCAGACCGACGAGGGGAGCGATACGAACTTAAGCTTCGGCACTGTTCACACACCGAACAGTAGTGTTACTACCATCATCGTTGTCGTCATTATCATCACCCCTCAGCGTCATCGTCCTAGTAGATCAGCCTCATCATAGTCTCTATCGCTGAAACCATTGTTGTCATTCTGGTGTTGATTCGGGCAACGATGCTGTCACAAAATCCGGTATGATAAGACTTACAGCAAAGAACTGAGTGATACAAGAGCTTGTCTTGACTATTAGAAGAGCAGCAGCCTCCGTCAAACCTTGCGAGTGCAACACCCGTGCGGGGGAAAGTTCAGTAGCACTACAACACCGAGGACAACCACGACGGCGCGTCTACTGCCGCTAATACTGCTACTACGACAAATACCGCGATCATTACTACAACTACCACAACAGCTGCCCGCTTTCACCTGCGACTACCACAACCAGCTAACACACGCAAAAGCAGAACCTCCTTCCCATGGTGGCAGATACATTGCTCTCCTTTATCAATAGGTTCCTTTAAAGGATCCCTTAAGGGATCCCGTAAAGAATTGCGTCGCTTGCGCGCTGCTGAAGGACCAAAGGGCGGCCAAGTCTTGCTGCTTCTTGGGGTCGGGTTATGGGCAGCCGGAATGATTAGCAATACTGTTCACGATTCCCTATGCTCCCCAGTATGTGATCGGCTATGTAGGCTACAGGGCTACGAAGAGGAATATTGATTCCCAAACCCCCAAAGCCCTAGATTCCCTAGATCCTAAGCCCTGATCCCTAGAAAATAGACTGGCCTTCCAGGTTCTTGTCACTGCGAGGCCACGGCAAGCTTTCCGGAACTCCTTCTTAGGCCGTCGTATACTTGGAGATCCAAGCATTGGGCCGTTCAGGTTTAGGGTTCTTGGGGTTGGGATGCGTAGAGTTTAGGGCCGTTGGTTTGGGACATAATGCCGATGAAAGCGAAACATGCTGAAGCGTCAGGGCTCGATGAGGCCCGCCACACCTTCCCATCGATGCTCACAGACCCAGGTGCGTTTCATTGCCAGGTCCGCTGGCAGGGGCGACTCCCTCGGAGTTGTCATGCACTGGGCCTGACGCATCTTTCTTGTAAGCCCTCAGTATCCCTCGTAGTAGCCGTCAAACTCTGAACTCCAACCCGTAAACTCATCTTCATGCATCTAAAGCGACCCCAAATTCTCCCTGCTTCCCCGACCTGTCCATCCAGGAAGACAGGCTCGGGCTGGCAGTGTTGCTCACCACGAAACTGGCCGGACAGAGGGATGTATTTGCAGGCGGCAGGGACGACTACTTCTGCTACGCCTGCGACCTGCACACAAGACGACGCAATCAAAGACAGAGAGATTATCTCGCAGCTTCGACGAGCGGCATCACAACCCGGAGGCCCATCACTCATGGACGACCAGCCAAAGCCGCCCCAGAGCCTGGCATGAGTCGAGAGAAAGCTTCCTAACATGACGGAAGGAAGCGGGACTCTCAATGGAAGAAGGGCACAGATGAAACTCAGGGCTTCCTTTCCTATCCGGCCCAGGTGCAGAATGGAGGAGCCCCTCGGCCAAGCGAGGATGAACTTCTGCTGCTGGTGGAACTCCAGGCCATTCCTAACTTCGCGGCCCCAGAGAACTACTGGATGGCCCACTGACACGGGAGAGAGTGTCTGTTTTATAGCATCGCAGAGGCACAAACCGCAAACTGCCGGCCGAGGCTCTTGTAGGTGGCATTGCCAGGATTTGCTTTCCAAGTTCGGCCATCGTGAAAGGCGATGGGATAGACACTCGTCTCAGGACGAATCTGATCATGGCCCCGGGACAAGGTCAATGCCTCGGGCAGCTTTTCCAGCGTGGAATTGCCCAAGTAGTGTGTTATGAGATACCGGTAGGTGATGTCGCGAAAATGGCCGATGTAGCGGTGGCGCATGGGATCTGGCTTCTCCCACCACCATTCTTGGTAGACAAAGTCCCATGGCACAGAGCTCAGCACATTACTAAGGTCTGCGATGGACTCAAAGAGCGACAGGTCAATCCGGAGCATGGTCACACCAATGTCGTGCAGTTCTTGCACATGTCTCAGGTGCATGTCGTGCACCGCCGGCAAGCCTGTATTCCAATCTGGCAGCTTAAGAAAATCACAGCTACAGCAGCTGCAGTCGGTAACGTCGATGCTGCCCGCCTTGCAGGTCCAGCTGGGAGGGCCCACGATGCAGTTGTCCATCAAGGATCCTTCCAGGTGGTTGAAATGCTCTGGGCCTGCAGCGTCCCAACCTCGTGCACCAGCCAACCGCCGGTTTCCATACAAGCTCCCATTCCAGCCCACACATGGTGTCCCCGAGCTCGTTCCACGACCATCTTTGCATGGGGTCGCGATGTGGTTGATGATGAGATCTACCATGACTTGCACGCCGCTCGCTCGACAAGCTGCCACCATTTGGGCGAAGTCTTCCATGGAGCCGGACCGTGAGCTCAGGGAAAAGGAGACCGGCTGGTACTTCGTCCACCACTGAGGTCCAAGCTTGTGTTCCGTCACAGGCGACACCTGGACAGCATCGAAGCCGTTTGGCCCGAGGTAATCTTGGCACTCCTTCCCGATATCTACATAATTCCACTCCCAGAGCTTCACAAAAACAGGGCTGCGACGAACATCAGGACTGGGGTTAAGTTCTTGGTAATCGCAGAGCTCGCTGAAGACGGACGGAGTGGAGTTCTGCTGCTCCGAAGGTGACCGTTGGTCAGCAGAGGTCCCTGTCAACGCATCCGCTGAGCTGCAGTTCCAAAGATCACAAATTCCTTGGGCAAAGACGAAAGTATTGCCACCGACCTGGCATGAGGAAACTCTTTGCATTTACATGAAGGCTGATGCCTCAACGCCTCAATGTATGACCTATGAGAAGTGAGTGATTACAAGGCTGAGGGTAACATTGCTCCAGACAACAGGAATCCCTACCAGGTCCCTGGCTGGAGCAGCCATTACAAGTTTACAACAGGAGACCACACCAAGTTCTGAAAATTATTGAACATCGCCTCGCGCAACTTCTTCAAACAAAGCCGCTGCGCCGTTGTTTCTTGTCCGTAGCGGTTGAGTCCAAATTGAGCTCCTAGCAGCACTTGCAGCCGGGTGCAGCCGCTGCCTTCCCCTTCGCGAAGGGACGGGATGTAGCATCGTCGGACTGGCGCCAGTGGGTTTACTGCAGACAGAGCACAAGGCAGTGGTCCCAGCCACCAAAACAACCACACCAGTGGTGAGGCTGCTTTCGGAACCATCGCACAGCAAGCAAAGACCTCTTATAGCTCTGAAAGAAGGAGTGCAAGTCACATCCAGTACTGCGCACCTGACTTCTGCCTTCCCAAGACCTCCGAGCTCGGGATTACAGACCTCTCAGACCGCAAGATAGATTTCGGATGCTCATTCTCCTCACTTGGTCCTAGCCTCAACTTCCTTGGTGTGTGACGGATACATGTTCAGAGAGGCATGCTGGAGGCGCGTCAGGAGATGCTCTGAAAGGTTGGTGAGTTCTGCGCCAGAAACCCGAACATCGTGATGTTCTCACCACGACACTTTCCTGCAATAACGCGCGCCTAGAACTGGGGAGTTCAAGAAGCCGCAACCGAAACTGCAGGCACAGACCTTTTTTCGCGGCCGATGCCCGCCAGTGCACTGTTGCAGGAGGTCAAGCCTTCTGTGAACCTGCTCTCCTGAGGACATGAAATACGGAATCGTAAACATGCCCTCATCAAGCCAGCCAGTGCATGATGCCGATCGTCGCGAGAACGATGATGCCGACACCTGAGCTGCATAACCCCAGCACCACCTAGCCATGCTGATTCCGTCGTGGCTTGAGTGGCGAGTTCTTGCAGCCACGGCTCCGGCCATGTAAGTCAAGCCGACAAGCGGGTGGTAGCGGAGGAAGGCCACGGAGATGACCAAGGTGGCCAGGACGGCCGTCGCTAGGAAGACCACTAAACCAATCACCCAGCCTGCCCCAGAGCTGATGTAAGGGCCCAGGAACGGAAGAATGTCCAGGACCACCTCAGCCCAGATCAAGAGCCTCCAAACTTGCTGTTGTAGGTACAATAGAATAGATAGTAGAATATAATCTAACCGAAAGTATAGCATAATATAATGCATCGTCTCTTGGCGAGAGGCCAGCAAAGGCTGGAAGAGGGCGTAGGTGCCGGCGTAGAGAAGGACCCAGGACAAAAGCCGCAGGCCCCACTTCATCACAAGGCCAGACCTGACTCCATGGCAAAATGTCATACAAAACATAGAAAAGAATACAATATACAATAAAAGAACCTAGTGGAACAGAGTCTAGATTACAGTATCGTATCATACCACATCATCAACTCAGCTCGGCGGTTTTGGGCCTGGTATTCAAGCGGACACTAGAGTTACAGAGGACTTGCCCGACCCAAAAGCCAGCTAAGCCCGAGAATCCCCCAACCCTAAAGGCGCTTTTGGCAGATTCCGGAAATCCCCAACTTCGGCTCGGTGACATGGTGAGCTTGTCGAAGACCTCCGCCGCAGTGCTGTGCCCGGGGTAGGCGGCCTTCAGGCGCGGGGCTACACGTTGTGAGGTTAGAGGTCTAGGGTTTCGTGGGGTTTGTGGCTGGAGGCTTTCGGGTTTGGGCCCGTATGGCTTCAGGGTTTAGGCTTGAAAAGTCATGGGCGATAAGGCTTTACTTTGGGGCTTTGGGCTTCGACGCTTCAGGCACTGGGGATTGAAGGCCTTTGGGCTTTCGGTATTTTTGCAGACTACCGAGCACGCTCTTGGGATTCTAGTCTCTCTAGAGCTTCGTGGCCGCGGCTAAGCAGAATGGGTTATTCGTGGGGGAGGAGGGGGGGTGGGTACTAGACTGTCATATTTGGGTGGGTTCGATTCACTGTCTTCTGTTGGAGACCCAGAGGTTGGAGTCGCACGCTACCCGAGCAGGGCTCCAGGGCCAAAGAGAAAGCGCCGAGGTTCGAAGATCTGCGGAGGCGCGAGCGCGGCGAAGAGCCGCGCAATGAGGTTACAGCCTCAGAGCGGAAGAAAGGGGTTTGGGTTTGGAAGGCATTTGGGGTGTGGGGGTTTCAGTGTTATTTTTTGTTGAACCCCTGTTTTTAAATTAAGGTTCTGGGGTTTTAGGCCTTTGGTGATGTAGGGCTTTGAGGCGACAAGGAGGCTGACAAGCAATAATCACACAAGAACAAACCCAAATCACTGCAGTGGTAAGCGAGTAAATTGCCGATGTGCCAGTGGCGCACAATGCAACACATTGCACAAAGAGGGAATAGACGGGAATGGAGTATGGACTTCCGCGATCCTTGCTTCTGTTACTGCAAGACTGAACCGCACAGCTTTCAATGTGCATCCGAGCCCGCCGCAACAGCACAGGCAAGCAAACGGGCCAGAAGTCCACGCTTCCTGCGGGGCAAGGAACATGCTTCCATCCGATGCTGATCAACGATGATTTAAAATGGGACTGGGACGACGCAGTTCACGTGGAATTCCAACACAGGCCCCAAAAGTACTGATCAATTAGGAAACACTTTTCGACCACCTTGAACTCTCGACTCAACCGGCAGTTTCCACATCCTCGTCATAGAGCTCTTGAGAGTTCTTGCGGCCCTGAGTAAGAAGGGCTTTCTGCAACGCTTCGTCGCGGAGGCCGCAGCAAAGCCCTGGCAAAATGACTGCTGACTCTTGGTGTGGGAGGGATTAGAGGTCCAGGGTTCAGGGTTTCAGCTCAGCAACTGTAGTCCTAAGGATCGTGTGCTTAAGGGCGAAGGTTGCAATTTTGAAGGTTGGGCTTGGAAGCAGCGCCGGCAACCCGATATGAGAAACCGAGACTCCTGGACATCACACGTGATTCGGATCTTCCACTGGGGGCAGTCACGCAGAAGTAACAAGTCAAAAGATCTCTCAAACTCCCTGGTGTGTTCCTCTATAGTTCGTATTTTGCGTTTTGTATTTATACCATGATTGCTGATATGAGGATTTCCATTCCGGTCAGTATGATTTGTCGTGTTGGTGGATGAGTGTTATTGCTGTTCTTGTTCTTGTTACTGACATGTTTTGCACTTGTTCCTGTGTTCTACTATGTTTTATTTATAAGACCACAGCCTCGGGAGACCAGTCGGTATGGCAAGAAAGAAGCCTCAGTTGTCGGGATTCTGCGATTGGACCGCCAGCAACGCCGGCTTAGGGGTTTGGGTTTAGGACTGGGATTGCACAAGACCTTAGGGTCAAGGGTCTGTGGGTCAAACAGCAAGCCCCCTGAAGGCTGAAGAATTCCTTCCGACCGGGCCGCCAGGAACGCCGGCTTAGGGACTTGGGATTAGGACCGGGACTTAGGGCTTCTGGCGTCGGACTTTAGGGTAAAGGGCCTATGCAGCAAGCCCCCTCGAGGCCTCCCAAGGATGAACGTAGAGGCAGTAGCAACTCTTTGAGACGGTCTGAACATGGCCAAACTATGTTCTTGAGCCAGGTTACAGCATGGCACAGCACCGCAATGCATGGTTTTTGAAACTTTCTAGACAGAGGGAGTAATTGTAGGGCTCTTTCCGCGGAGTAACTCCACTATAGTCTAGCAAAACTGGTTACAGGATTTGCAGTATAGCTGAGCATTGAGTTGTATGTAGCATGGTAGGATTGGTGATGCACATCCCGGATGAATGTGTGTAGGCGTGCATATATATATATGTACAAATATATATATATATATATATATTCTTGGATGAGCCAGAAGACGTGCGATGTGTGGAGAAGACCGATGAAGTGCAGTGTATGGCATCCCGCAGAGACATGTTGGAGCATCAAGGCAGTCTGTAATACAGCTGAGAAAGACATGGGGATAGAAAGACTATGAAATCACGTGACTGCGACACGACATATCAATCGACCAGGCACTGCACGTGGATGCTTGTCGTCTTCCGCTTGCAGTGCCACGATCGAAACTGGTCCATCTGTCACGTACTCCAAACACACACGCACCTTAGATCGATCGACATCAGCTTTGCAAAGGGTTTGGAGACAAGGGTATAGGACTAGGGATAATGCTTGGTCATCGGGGTGACAGGCTTTCGATTTCAGACTTTGAGTTTAGGCTTATTGCAACGGTAATTTTCCCAAGCGACACTGCCAACGGTTGGAGCCTGGGCCGCGCTGTCTGGATAATACAACCTTGGAGAATACGGAATGCCAAGAAATCGGAACTTATCCATCAATGATTTCGTGCAGGCTGTAGAACCATATAGTATTAGAATGATATAGTATATTTTGTAGCTCATAGTAGAGGATGGTTAAATCCTCTGAAGGTGCCAAAGAGCTCAGCTCTCATTAGCAACCGGGACACCACCCTTCCGAGGGATTGCCGAATCGGGTGCCGTTGTACTCCAAAACCTTCACGTGGCTATTGGCATTTTTCCAGTTGTCCAGCTGCTCGACCATCTCCTTCGTCAAGTAATAGCCATCCTGAGTCACCACGACACCACGCTCGCCGTAAACGACACGAAGAAAATTGAGGACTCACTTCACCTCATTTCTCTCCAAACCTATACCCCACACACACACCTTCTAGGAAACCTGCTTCTGGAAGTGCCAATGCATGGCAGTCCAAAAGGCTATTGAAAATGATGACGAGCACAACATCCCCAGCCCTGTGCCAGGAGACTAGACGCAGATCACAGCGGACTCTGGTGAACATTGCATTTGAAAGACGTGCATGTTTAGACACTGCTGAAAGGCAAGAACCTTTTGGGCCCCATGAAAGCTTGCTTAAAGTAACGACTGAATCCAACATGGAGGTTTGGGCCCATCATCTCCCGAGTTCTGGCAACCTCTGGTTTCTTCGGCCTGGCCGCGCCATACTTGACCGTGGTGTTGGCGATCTTTTCCGTGCCACACTGAAGTCCATCGACGGAAATGGAGTTTCTATGCGTCGGCTGGTGGAACGAGGTCGAATCTATCTGTGTATCAGACCAGATTTTGCTGTATTCATAGTGGGTCACCGTCGTCTCGCCGCCACCCAAAGAGTCTTTCTTCTTCTCCTGCTTCTTGGTCTCCTTCCACTGGTATACCTGGACCTGGCTCTTCATCCTGGCGCGGGAGGAGCGGAGAATGCCTTACAACTAGCTCTGTAAACTTAACTTCAGACCTTCAAGACAGACCCAGATTTTAGCATTGGATTCCTTCCCACACGGCTTCCAGCATCATATGAAGTAAGTTTGTTTGCGAACTCTTGTTTCTTTCTCTTCGATCATTACGATGGAAGGAAATGGAAGTGTGAATGAACGAAGAAGAGAAGAGAAACGAGAGAGCAAAAGATGAAGGTAATGAGCGGGCTGGGTCTTGAATCTTGTGCGGTTTGAGCTAGAGGTACAATGTATTCCCAGCCGTTGGCCAGCTACTATTGAATATTAGGTGCCTTGACTTTCACTGAATTATCCTTCCGTACACCATCAATCCCATGACACCTTAAACATGAGAGCAAGAAAAGACCAAAATCAACAACCGTGATCTGTTTTGGCTGCTTTCGCACCATATTTATCTTTTAGGGGTTCGTACAAACAACCTGAAACTATATAGGAACTCCTTCAGATATAAGTCATATTTTCCGATAAGATTCTCCTATATTTTTCTTTACTAACCCAGGCAACACCCTAGGCACCTCAAGCAGCCACTTTCCATTCGAAGTGCGGGGAAGCGTCGATCCTGTGCTGCTAGAACCGCTTGCAAACATTATGCGGTTGGGGGCAATGCTGGTCGCAGTGGGAGTCGGTAGCAGTAGTACTAGTGGTACTAGTCGGAGCAGCAGTGGTAGTGGGAATAGGAGTCGTAGCGGTAGAAGTAGAAGTACAAGTAGACGTAGAAGTAAAGACAGTAGTAGTGGAAGTAGTGGTGGTAGTAGTAGTAGTAGTAGTAGCAGTAGTAGTGGTAGTGGTGGTAATAGTAGCAGCAGCAGCGCAGCAGTAGTAGTAGTTGTAGTAGCAGCAGTGGTAGAATTTGTAGTAGCAGCAATAGTTGTAGCAGTAGCCGTAGAAGCAGCAGTAAGCAGCGGCAGTAGCAGTAAGCAGGCAGAGAGGCAGAGGCAGTAGCAGTAGCAGTGCGCAGCCGGAGTCGCTGTGGCATTTGTTGCTGTTGATGTTGCACTTGAAGCTGCAGTGTACTTGTAGCTGCAGATGCTGCCATTTAGCCTGCTATTGTCACCGGACTTGATGTCTGAGGAATTGCTACCTGCTGCATCACGTTTGACCTTGTCGATGATCGGCTTCGAATTGTCGCATAAGAAGTGGTGTGAGGTGATCGGGCTCATTATCTTCCAATCCGGTTTCATGTCGTTTCATGCAAGTTCCAGTTGTTCATTTCCACATATCAAATGATGCGCCCTGATCTGTCCTGATTCGTGACATTTCTTGATCATCCTACCTGTTCATATCCTGCACGAACCGGTATTCAGTCCCAAATCCGAACACCTGTCGGAGTCTCCTTCATCTCATCCATACCCTGAGCATCGGCGTCGTTCATGTGAACCAACCTGCATCGCTTCTGCTGCTCGGGGTGCTGTGCTTAGTAGCATCTTCAATCATATGCGTGTCCAGATTGCAACTTTTGTGCCAAGGCTTCCGGGGTCTTGATTCTCGACTCGAGGTCAGTTCAAGCTCCACTTGCAGCAATTTAGATTCAGTTGGAGTCTCGGAGGTTCGGCGGTGATCCCGTCCGCCGTGTCCCCAATCCGTATAGACCCCTTTAAAGGGACCCTTATAGCCCTAAACCCTATACCCTTATAGACTCCCTATATAGATCCCTTTAAAGGGACCCTTAAAGGAAAGATGGAGCCGACCCAGAAGAGAGCTGCTGCCAGAAGATGGAGCCGAGCAACGTTCCGTGCAGCTTTTCGTCGACCGACCTTGCGAGTCGCCATGGAATGAAAAGACACAAGAATGGTAGTAATATGATAGTAATATGGTAGTAATATGATAGTAATATGATAGTAGTTATATGGTAGTAATATGATTGTAGTTATATTTTAGTAACAGCACTTTTGGACGGACTGCGATTGCAGCTGCTTCCCCAGCAAATGTCCTCAAGAAAACCAACCGATGCAAGCGCCAAGCAGCTTGGATGCGATGGTCTGCACCTTGTAGAGCAAACACGATGGACCCGAGAAAAAAACAAGCGGTTATGATTGCAAGGATGTCTGCGATGCTGATAACTGACACGATTTTCCATGATGTTACTCACGCTGAAGTGAGCGAAGATGTTGATGATGACGGTGATGGTGATGGTGAAGGTGATGGATGTTGAAGGTGATGGATGGTGATGGTGATGGTGATGGGGCAGGCGCGGGTGCGGGTGCAGCTGCGGCTGCGGGTGCGGGTGCGGGTGCTGGTGCTGCTTGTGGTGCTGCTTGCGGTGCTGCTTGCGGTCCTGCTTCTGGTGCTGCTTGTGGTGCTGCTTGTGGTGCTGCTTGTGGTGCTGCTTGTGGTGCTGCTTGCGGTGCTGCTTGTGGTGCTGCTTGCGGTGCTGCTTGTGGTGCTGCTTGTGGTGCTGGTGGCTGTGGCGGTGGTGCAAGGACCTGGAACAAAAGGAGATGAGGATTCATATCTATCCTCTCCCAAGAACAAGGGTGAACCAGCTTGATGGCCCCGAACCCGCCAACATCCTGAAGTGGCCAATGTCTGGAGGCCAGATGGGACAGATACTGTAGCAACTTGACATGTACCAGATCGATGCTTCTGAGCTGCTTCTGTCATTCCCAGCTGCAGGATGCTCTCCTCAAGCTCCCGACTTAGGGCTTGAGATTTTCACGAAGGGCAAGGACGTGCCATCTCCTGCTGGGCATTTCTCCGTTCGTTCATCCACATCAGAGCCTGAGGTTCAAGCATCTCGCAGGAACCCGCTCGTATGCACCGACGAGATATGGAAGCAAATGTAATCACTGCAGCAAGGCACCAACGAAAACGGAATCAAGCACAGGCCGGCGATAACACTCCAAAATGCATCGCCAAGCCTGGAGAACCACGACCTGAGAACTTGGGCTGGGACTGCGGAATGCCAATTCGGCGAAGCAGCAGGTGCACATGCCCGAGGTTCCAGTCCGATATAAGTCTGGAACTGGTGTTCAACGGTGACATCGGGCTCTTGCTGTGCCTTCTGGATGAGACCAGCGGCCTGCAAAAATGACAACACAAGCAAACCGACGACATTACGTTGGTTACTTCATGTGCTGCTTCCCCCACCTCTGGATGCAAGGCCATCTGTCCAGGCCGCAGGTGACCTTTTGATATGTCACGCGATTTCTTCATTGCCAGGTGCTCCTGCAAAACCACATGCTCCTGCAAATATCAGGAAGCACTTTCATGATTTTATGAGGGCACAGACATCCAGTCACAGATAAACTCATTCAGCAACACCTGCAAGAGACCCACTGATTCGACCGGTGCATCGTTGTGCAAGTCCACGGCCTTAGACTGCTGTCCAGGATCAAACAAGCCACAACATCCTGAGGCACAGACATATCCGTTGCAGCAACATGCATGGCACACAATCTCGAATCCCGCGTAAGGTCGGGTTTTGATGCATCAACCGGTTGCACCGTGTTAAATGCAGCCCTGTCGCCTTCTTTCCATCTGCATAAGCAGACAGAATCAAACTCGATACAACAATGGCAAGCATGCCTCAGCAGCACCATTGAGAACAGACCCAGACGATGCAACGAAACGACAGGCTCCAGAAACCCAAGCCCAAGATGCCTGTATATGAAGTCTGGCACTGGCGAGGGCGCGCAGCGCGCGCGCCGTGCGAAATCTTCTGGCCTCAGCGGCATGCACCCAAAAAGCGTTCACCAAGCTGCTCGTCATTGATCAGAAAAGCCACGCCAGTGGTCACGTATGCCAAATCCATGCCATATGGACGTTCCTGACTTGAGCCATAATCGTCACGGGAATGTCACCTTGTTCCTGCCAAGTGCAAACTCGAAGCGGGAGCAGTCTGCTTGAAAACCAACGTTGAAGGCGGAATCTGCCTCTGGAACCCTCAAAACATGCCCACAAGGGAGACTGCTGGCCACGGGGCTCTTCTGCTGCAGTGATGAGCGCAGAAATGAAACACAACTGTGTTCACAGAACGACTGCAATGCAACAAAGCACGGAAAAGTGGTGTCAAGACATTTACACCAACATGTATTTATCGGAGAATTTTCGACAACTACTCTACAGGGCTCTTCGATGGTTTTAATTATGTTTGGCGGAAGACTTACGATCGCTGCTTGGACACCCCCACTGAGAAAAGTTGGAAATGTCGTTCCACGCTCCCCAACACGACATCAAAGCGGGCAAATCGACGCAGCACACGGGACAGCGGGAATGCCCATCGCCATGGGTCTGTAACAGGGGCTTGGTGGAAATGTTGATGCCAGCCCTCAGCTACAAATCCAGGCCGACTAGTACATGAGCAAGACAACCCTGGGAACTGCACACGGTGCTGACTTGGAGTCGCAATCCACTGACTTTGAACTTCGTTTTCTCGAAAGTTTGCAAGCTCTGCATCAAGACCCACTAAAAGAAAAGCGATCAGGGGGACTTCCAACAACAAACATGTTGACACCCTCCAGACGACTCACAGCCATCACAAAAATCACAATACGGACACCGGCGGAGATTTGAAAGCCCTAAATTGGGTAATCACACGGCGGCCCACACTGTGTGGACACTGATCAGCTTAACTACAGGTGTTTGGGGCCTGATGTTGAGATTATGAACACGGCATGGTTTCAATCACAACTATGGGGAACTGTTGGATTGCGTGGTATTGCCAGCATTTGCCAGCATTGTCAGCAAACATCAAGGCGCGGTGACCGCTCCATTCAGTTATTCAACATTCATCACTCTTTGTTCATTCATTCTTTGATACACCCGATCCGATCTGTTCACACATTTATCATTCATGCACTATGCTTTTTCTTTCATTGTGGTAGTTCAGTCAGTCAACCATGAATTCTCTCATGTCATGCAATCATTCATCCATCCATTCATTCATTCGGTGCCTCAGCCTGTCGGTCAGTCAGTCAGTCAGTCAGTCAGTCAGTCGATCGAATTCTTCATCCAATCATTCGTATATTCATTCGTCGTTTTCATTCATTCATGCAGTCCTTAATTGCGTCATTCCTGTTTTGATGTATCCATGCACTACAGTGCGTTCACTCATTCCTTCGTTCTTTCGTTCAGCCATTCCCTCACTCATTCGTCAGTTAATTCCTTCATGCATGCATTCATTTCAGATTTCATTTCGTTCATGTCATACCATTGTCATATCATGTCATGCCATGTCAGATTACTTCATGATGTCATTTCATGTCATTTAATTCCATGCATCCGTTCATTCATTTCATTTCATTCATGTCATGTTGCTTAGCTCGTTCTTGCACAAAGCAAATCCACAGCAAACATATGAACGGTTCATATATGACTGATAAGGCAGCCTCTTCTCGGAGAAAACATGAACATGTACTCCAAAAATTGAAAACCGAATGTAGCATATGCATATTTTTCAATTTGCATTCGGGCAATTCCTTTCTTGTTTGCAGTGGACATGGGACAAATGTCGATTGACAAACAATCGGAACTTCGGCGAACTCGGTCACAACACCTGCACAAGCATCCAACACGACAAGTACTTCTGTGGCCGTTCTCTCCCTCCCTAAGTGGATGGACGGAACATAAAAAAAAAACTGGTCCACACACTGAGTTTCTTCTGTCGTATCTGTCAAGATTGTCACGTGAAATGGACTTAGCCGCTTTCGCGCTTCTGACTAGCTTCTCTTGAAACAACCAAAAAACTCCAAAAGCTCAACCAACCAGCCACTTGTGATATGCGGAACAACAATGGGGTTCGACTGAATGCTTCCTGAAATCGAAGTCAAGAGGTTATTCTTGCCTGGACTAATCAAACGAAGTCTCACTGTGTCCAAGGCAGCCTAGCCATGAAGTGATCCTCCTTTTCCACGTTTTCAGTCTTCCGTACAGCGACTTCTTTCTTTGAGCTTTCACGCGGATGCTGTGGTTGTGGACGAAAGTTTCCAATTGAAGACAAGCATTGACTGGTTACATTTTACCGTTCTCCGGCTGTATCTTGGTGGTTCTGGTCGCTCCACGTCCAGATTGTAGGAATCCAAAATTGAGCTCGAAAAGTTCAGACAGTCGATTCCGCAAAGTTGTTCCTTTCCAGCCCTTTCCCTCTTCTCCACTTCTCTTCCGCCTCCTCCTCTCTTCTTCTCTGTGGAAGAAGAGGTCTGGAAGTTTCCGGACAGAACTCTGGGTTGGCAACGTGCGAATGGCTCTACTGCTCGAAATCTTCGGCAAGGTAATGGCCACATGGAAGCATTGTTTGCAGTCCAATGCCGTTCGTAGCCATTTGACTATGCATGCCGAATGCTTGTGCAAGAGCTATTAGCCACACTCATCTTTCCATTCATCGTGGCTCTAGCAACGCCATGTCTTGTCCAGCTGCACAGCCTCATATCGAATGGCAAGAGCATTCCAGAGTCCGGCATATGCAGAGCCACAGTGCGCAGCAGTTTCGTAACTTCATTCTCCACAATCAAAACTGTACAGGAAGATCCACTCACTGATCGCAGTGTCCACAGAGCTGTGGTCTGGATAGTCGAAACGAAGACTAGTGACCAAAGACTAACTATCAGAAACGGACAACGAAGAGTTGTATTGAGCACGCTTCGGCCAACACGGACCAACTTCTCATTAAGAAAGCTCGATTCGAACCGGGTTTTCTGCTGGAAAGAGGAATGTCTGAACTAAACTTTAAGCAAGCGTTGCGCTTTTCGTGACACCAGAGTTGTGATTTGTTTTTCTGTGCAGTATCTTTGAGACTGGTTCCCTGCTGCAGGTTTTAGAAGCTTTAAACGGAGGAACAACAACAATAACCCAGAGAACCCACGTTTGAATCTGGATTTTATGTGGTTCAACCTCGGTTGTATAACCTGGTGATTTCCAACCTGGTTTAATGAACTGGGTTTCCAAACCCAGGTTTTAAACAGAACGGGAGAGAAATCAAGACCTTTGTATGCATTGTTACCTTCCAAATTAAAACTGCACAAAGCAAAAAAACATGGTTCAAAAGGTTGAACTCAAACAATGGAAATTCAAACTTCCGTCCCTTAAAGCCGCCCAATGTAAGCTCTGTGTTCCACTCGCTCCTTAGAAGCATCTGCCCACAACCGTGCTCTTCAGTCTTATTTTGGCTGCCAACTGGAAGTTTAGCAACACGGAAACGGTGAAATTAACATTTGCACACAAAGCTACACAACGTGGGTTTCGGACAAGAAGACTGAGGAGGAGAAAGCAGCGCGGTTCAGCTCACACTGAACTTAAGAGATTTTACTTAAAATTCTGCGACCGTGTCACCGGTAACGGAGAAAAGCTTGGGCTCATGATCAGAATACCCGTTGCTTCATTGTGATGAACGGCGCGCGCGAACACAAAATGCATTTTTTCGTTTTTGCTTTCCAACCGAACTTGAACGCACCATTGCCAAAGCATTTCAGTTTGCTCTTGTTCATGGATTCTCCACAAAATGAAGCATTCAAAACCTTCCAAAACGTGCGTCTTACGACCAGTTTGCTTCTGCGTCCAAGGAAGCAATGTCGACGCAAAAAAAAAAAAAACTACGCATTTTATTTTGCCAACATTAAAGGCCCAAAACAAGCCAAAAAAGCTGTGCCACTTGATTGAAGCCGGTGCAGTGTCTGGATGGAAGAAAGTAGTGATTTTGTGAGTGGAACAACGAAATGCTTCAGATGAGGTTCTTAGAACACCCGCAATTCAAAATCATGTCATTTAAGCTTGTTGAGTGTGGAAGAACAGTTGAAACTGAGTGCACTCCAATACAGCTTTGAACAAGATCTGTGCTTGTCTGGTAATGTTGCAGAATTTGCTTCTAGCAGAAAATACAGAGCTCGAAGAAGTTAGAACTTGCGTTAGCATTTTCCGACGCCAACCGTATCGCAAGCAGAGTGGCATTCCTTCTTTTTCCTTGTTTTTTAAATTCTCAACTCAAAAAAAAGTGCTCACTGTTTCTCTTTTTTTACTTGCGCAGCCACTCCATTCAACAGCACAGCTCATCGAGCTGTTGCAGACTTATGGACAACGACTGCTGTGGGGGTATTCTGATGTGTTCTGCGTTTTTTGTTGTTTTCCGGGCCCCGAAAATGGGCTCGTAAAGCTCGTCGAAAGTGTGGCAGGGTAGGGAAGCCCTGGACGGAGGTTTTCAGGCCTGGAGAAGTGTTGGAAGGGACTTGGCAAGGCTGCGGTGCATGAATAGTAGACGCCTTCAAATAGTGCCCGAATAGTGCCCGAAATAGTGCCCGAACTTGTGCCGGAATGAACTTCTCTGGAGGCCCCTTCACAACAGCCACCACAATCCTGACAATTTCCGGACCCAGAAGTGGGCTTGTTGGAAGCACTACAGAATCTCAACCTCGCCGCCTGCTTCAGAAACTTCGATTATGTCTTGGCCTGCTCCGAACGCAGTCATGACTACACGAGCCATGCAAAGCATTGCCAAGATCCGGCGTCGCAGGAAATCTGTGGGAAACCCATAGGAAACCCCAGGAAACCATCGGAAACCAGACCGGAAACCTTCAGAAACCCTTAAGAGGGAAC